GAAAAGACCTTCGGTGCACATAAGAATTAAGGTTATAGGGTTTAGGGTTCCGGGCTTTGGGGAAACATCCTAATCCCGAAAGAATAAAACACCGTAACCCCAACAAGCCTGAACCTACAGAAACACCCGGAAACCTAAACCCTAAACCCTAAACCCTAAACACTAAACCCTAAACCCTAATCTACAGGAGCAGGGCGTAGGGCTCAAATCGCTGCATCTGGGCTGGGCACACGCAACTAAAACCTCGGCCCTGTCATCCCTGACAAGCCCTGCCAGCCCCAAACCAGCTGCTTCTGATGTAAGGGCCTTAATAATTTGGGCTCCTAAATAATATATTCATAATAAAGAACCCTAACAGTAATCTGAGAAATTCGCCCTAAATAGTATATTCATAATAAAGGACCCCAACAGTAATGTGGGTAATTAGGTAGGCTTCTATGTTAACATGTATCTTCCCATGAGTGCATCCGAAGGTCAACTTGTTTTTGAAGTAGCCCAGCTTGGCTTCGAGAGTCTGGCCGACGTGAAAGCTAAATAAGTGTAGGGTGCAGGGAGTTTAGAAGTCAGAATGTCATGACATAGTTAGGTTTTAGGGTTTAGGGGTTTAGGGTGCCATGATAGATCACAGAAGCGGCAAGCGCTGTGGAACGACGGCGCTGTGGCGTGCAACGAAGCAAATTGCGATGCGGACAGACTTTATTGCTTGGGTACCTTTCAACACACAAACGACTTTTCGACCAAGCACTTGCAGTAGCAACTTTGCAGCGTTTGACAACCGTGCTGGGACGGGAGCGCTGTCTCGAATCGTCGTAGACATAGGCATTTTGGAACGCTTTCGTTTGCCGTCTGCGTTGCTAGGTGCAGTGGCCACATGGCATCGAGAAGCACGGGCAACTTGATGTGCATCGTCAAGTCAGGCAATTTAAAAAGCGTCGACCGATGTTTCTATATATGTATATACAAATAAGTAAATAAATAAATAAATAAATATATATATATATATATATTATATATATATATATATGTATATATATGTATATATGTATACATGCACACATACCTTCGAAGACTCGAAGAGCTCTCGTCTCCCCGACGGCGGCACGAGGGAGCCACTGAGTACCGAAACACGTTCAGTCTGAAAGTTTCCCAAAGTACGATGCAAGCCACGTGGGCCCATGAGGGCCCACGTAAACACAGTGAGGAATTGACAGCTCTATCAGAACCAGGGGAAGCCACCAGCAAAGCGTGGATGGCATGCCTGACACGTAAGCACACCTTGAGCAAGAACAGCAGACAGGGCAGCACAATCATCATCTCGTGCTGTGGCTTTGGATTCTCGCAGTACAACCCGGGCAAGGGTGGCTACCGTCCCTGTTGATATGAGCCGGCATCTGCAGTTTACACGTGGTGCAGTGGAAGCAGGTAGCACCCAAGCATCAGATACAGAAGCCGACCAAGACCCGCGATTAACTTTCAAGGCTCGGGGACAAGACATGGGAGACACGGTTTCTGCTGTCATCTATCTCGTTTGCTGTGGTCTTTCTTGGGATGCTTGTTGTCACAAAACTCTTCTCACGGAGAAATCTTCTGGCACAGCAAGGCATGCCAGCGGCAGCTTGCAGCTTCCATTGGCAACTGCGGTGTTACTAAAACACAAACTCCTAACGCGCTAGACTTCGAACCAAACATTAAGGTAGTTGCCTTGTTGGCAGCAGTTACGAAGCACTGACGTCATAATGTCACCACCACAAGAGAAAGAAGATTGTTACCGCTACCCCAGCGTGTCCATGGATCCTTAGCGCCCATGGTGATGTGGTCATGCTGGGCTCACCGGAAGGGCCTGGATCGTTTAAACCTGAACCCTGTCGGCAACGCTACCCTGCAAACGACAAGCCCTAAACACCAAACCACGACTGATTGTGCTTTGAACGCCTTTTCCAAATGCAACCGAAGCAGCCCAACTTAGAGTTCAGGGGTTTGGGCCTTACAGTAGGTTTAACCATAGGCCCCATAGTAGTTCCTTTTTGGGATTCCCTAATAGACTCCTAAACATAAGCCACAAAAAAGGAACGACTATGGGGCCTGTGGGTAGGGGTAGCTCCACAAATCAAGCCCCCAGGCGCCTTCCCGATGCACTTCGGGCACCCGTCGCAGTCGGAGTTGAATGTGAAAGGCGTGGGCGGCGCAACCGTAGCGAGGCAGTGCCTAGTCGGTAGCTTACTTGTCGAGTATAGTTGTAGTACTCCAAAAGAATCAAGGTTAATTGCCTACTTTGCTACTAAGTTTCAGATCTTTGGTTTCGGGTTACGGGTGTTCTACTGAGGTCTAGACCAAAAACCCTTAACTCTATACGGTTTAGGCAGAATGGATGATTCCCTGTCCACAACACGAGATATAGGTTGAACGACCACATCTTGAGAAGCATGGCAAGCCTCGACATGCTAAACCGATCAACCCCAAACCCTACTCTTCTTAGTCAAGGAGTCAAGGCCTGCAAATCGACGGTACACACCTATCAAATCACCAGGAAACTGAGACCACGAGCAAGCGACGTCACTGGCAGCCCAAAGCTGCTTAGTGCAATGTGGGATGGAAGGCAGGATGACATCAACCCATCTCTGGCCTACAAGCGGAAAGGGCTCAAGAGCTGCCGAGCGACGGATCGGGCTGGATAATCTGAGCGCAGCCTGAGGAATAGCTTGCATGCATCCGTATGCCGTATGCCTCCCCAAACCTTAACACCCTTTTTGCGTCCTGGCTTGGGGCGTCGGCCGGGAAAGTTACACAGGCAAGTGCACAACCTTAAAACCCTAAAACCCTATGCCCCTAAATCCCTGAACCCTTTGCCCCTAGACCCCCGAAACCCTAAACCCTCAACAACAGGCTTTTCGGGGGACCTGGAGAGTGGAGTCAGACCCTGAGCCCGGAACCCTAAACGATGAAAAAATCCCTACATCGATCCTATTTGTCGGGTATCCTGGGGAAGTGAAGGATAAGCTTTGGGAATATATTTGGAATATATCGGGGCTATAGTACCCCAGAAAGGTTACAGGTCACCTACTCTACTACCAGGAGATTGGGACCTGCTATTTTACTTCCACAGGGACCTACTCCAGAAAGCTGCTTTTTAGGTTGTCTGAGACTGAGACTTAAGGACAGATGCATCCAGAACTTGGGGCTTACTCTCTCGAGTTTGTGGTTTCGGATGTCTGGCCCCGCCATCTTATAGAGATTCAGGTACATGAAGATCAAGGCAATTCCTGGCACTGCTCTCAAAGCTCTGGACTCGGATGAACTTCGGAAAACCCTAAACCCTAAACCCTAAGCAGGAAGCCCTTTTACGGCCTTAGGGTTTAGTAGGGACAGCTTCCCCAAACCCCGCACCCTGAACCTAAACCGCTTCCCCCCCAACCCTTGAAGCTCCCTACTGCAGCATGACGGCTCAAGAACTGCACGATTTCGCACTTCCATGTTACACGCTAGAAGACGACCTTATCGCACTCTGCATGGAACCTTCTCTACGGTTTCATCACAAGTGTTCTGCTAGGCTTCTGC